TAAATGCTTTGCTCCCTGGTAAAGCAGTTTGGTTATCGACAAAAGAGGTTTTTTAGTAAGAGAACCACACTCCAAGCCCTGGCTGCTTAAATCTCCAACCCTTACAGCATATCTATGCTGTTTACATGCTAGTAAACAGCATAGGGTTGTGCTTTGAGATTTAAAAAGCAAGCTACAGCAATTTTAAAATGGGCAGTTATGTCTGCGTCATTTTGGTACCATGCTGTAACCCAGACCAACACTGAAACTTTGGGCCTTGCTCTGTATTGTAAAATTTGGTGTTAAGGTGATGTTTGAAACCAGGACTGTGTTCAGAAGGATGGTGAACGAATGGTGGTAGAAAATGTTTTGCAGTCTGTAGCGCTTTCTATACTAGTGGTTACCACACATTACTTGGATTGCTAACATTCTGAGATGAACTACAGTAGCATTGGTTTCAACTACAACATCGTCTTTTATTGAATATTGTGGGCAGCATATGCTCTTATTATTTTGCCTCATTTTCCCTCCTCTGGAGTGAAAGGTTCAAAAGTGATAGCTGACTGGATAACAACAGTCTTTAGAAGCATCTCAGTTGTCAATTTTATTTTGGAATGGCTTTTCTGATTAGAAAAATACCAATAGGGGAAAAGACTGGAAGGTTGAAAAAGACTGATGGGAGCAGAATAAAACCAAGGCTTTAGCACAGCTCCCCTTGTGATGGCTGTGTACTGGTTAGTGCATTAATGATCTATCGTGGGTGCAGCAGCCTTAAATAATTTATCAACTAGGAATTATTAACTGTAAAATTAACTTGTATAGGTTGGGTGCGGAGGATTTTTTGTTTCTATGGCTAAGAGTGTGTACTTCACTGAGTGGGCTGCTTGGTCTTATTTTTAGCATTACACTGGTAGTGGTAAGTTTTAAAGTAGACAAATACAGGGTGTTGCTTGCAGACGCAAAATAGAAAATGCTCCGCTTCTATACAGTTAAGAGCATAGAACTTAAATCAAGATTACAATTAACTGTTTTGTAAACAGTACAAAGTTAATAGTGTGATTCGCTTGAAAGACTACATTTTTAATAGTGTACAATTTTTGTCACCATGTTACAAAAAATACACTGCTGCTACAGAATCAATCTGCAGAAGAGCAACCAGACGCATTCACAGACTTAAAGTAATTTACTCCACTGGCAGGCTGAAAGAGATGAAACATTTCTTTCTGTAGTCAATTATTATAGACAATCATCATCCAAGGATTCAAAATCCTAAAAGGAAATGACATAGTCAACCCAACGAACGTCAGCATGAACAGTGAAATGGAAATAAGTGGAAGAAACATGGCAGTGCTTTTAAAACCTTGAATAGGAGGCACTTTTACCATTTGTTTTTCCATAGCCATGTTGTTGTAGCCAATACCCCTTTTTACAGGGTACTTCAACAGCTACTAACTGTCAGACTGTAACACTGAAGCAAAAGTGTTTTTTTTTAAGTGCTTGTTTTAATATGGCTGAGCAGTATATATTATAGACTAAATATTTTGGGGGTTTTGAAAGTCCATTTCCTTATTCGCGTTTTCCATCCGGCCATTACCTATCAGTTATTTTCAAAACGAGCATTGTTTCATTTTAAGATCTAAGTCTGGTTTTAAAGTTTTTTTTAAATGTACTAAATGTATTTATACATCTGTTGTCACCAAGCCTCACCAGCTTTGTGATAATCTTTCCTTTCTGCCTATGGTACAATGTGAAACCAGGAACGCTATACTTATTCTGAATTTAGCTGTTGAACTTTTAGCCTTTTTGTGTGTGTGGGATGCATTGTTGTTCTCTGCACGCTTTTATATAATGTTGTGATCTTAGACTCAATGTATAAAGGGCCTTAGACACTTTTAAAGAGCATTCAAAATCAAAGATGTGAAGTTTACCTTTTAACTTGTAGCAGCTAGCCCAATGTACCAGCAAATGTTGACTGCTGTACAGTTGTACTGATGTCATATACAAGCTGACTTTCTAGTGTATTGAATGTATGTCTTAAAGCCTTACATTTCTTTTATTTCCATTGCGGGATATTCATAACTGTCATATCCCTTACTAGTATAAACCTGCCAAATGCATCACAATTAGATTATAGTTCCATAAAATGTGTTTAATGGGACAATTTGAGTGAAGTACCTTTCTCAAACAGTGTCCCACCTGGGTTTAGATCCCATGACCCTCTTGTCTGTAATCAGGATCTCTTCACATTGCGGTGTTTTCTGCTGTTACACTATTTAGTCAGCTATGAGAAATCTAAGCATTGTCAACTCTAAGCAGGAACATTTTTTATAGACAGACTATAACCTAGAAGTAGATAACGAAACGGCTAACATTTTAATTTTCCACACAGTACTTCCCCATCTGTGGTAAATTATTAACTTCTTAAATGTCTTTTTCTCTGCCGCATTTTGCACTAATGTAGTATTGAGTGATTAACATTGCAAGAGAACTGCAACACTATTTAATGTTTCAGGGTTAAAAAGAATCAGCAATGATGAGTGTATTTCAAACCACAATAAAAGTAAAATGTACACTAACTTTTAAAACCTCCAATTTATATCACAGAATATCTGAAATTTCAAGGCATGCACAAACACCCTATTCTGCAATTCAGAAAAAAAAAACAAAACTTCTGGTGACACAAAGCAACCTTATTACATTATAAAGAAGCAGGTTTGCAAATACATCTTTTAATCCAACAGAAATACTGCTCTAGATTTAAAGAAAATGACTTACTTATCTCTGCATGCAGATAATGTTGGAAAATTTCAGCAAATGAATGCTGCATAACCTGTACTTATTTGCTCGTACATTGCATTACATTCATTATTAGAGTGACTGGTGAGTGGGAAGGGGCTGCATCACACTATTGTCCTCTTGCTCTCGTTCACAGCGAGACCAGGGGTTAAGGACAATATGGTGACTTACGGTACTTACACAAAGTTCATCATTTTGTGCCAAATTTGGAATTTGTGATTTTTGTTTTGTACAGTCTAGAAATTTATCTTGTTACTGAGATTTAATAACCGGTCTTATAATTCGGGACTGCAGTTCCCCTTTAAAGCTGCTAAGTTTAGTATGGACAACTGTTAGGGAAGCAAATGACAATGATATTTATGGCCTTGCAATGTCCTCTAAACAGAGGTGGAGAACTTTTCATATCTCCTGTTCATGCCAGAGCCATTTTCGTCCTGAGGAATAATGTTGCTCTCAGATCCGTTTTGCCACCCTGACAAGGCGCAGCTTGACTTTCAGTGAAAGGCAGGGAAATCACATTGGCCATGTTCAGCTGAAGAGGTTCTAAGTAGGCCTGATATGATGTGAATCATTCTTACAATTACAATGACAGTTGTTTTGTTATCTGGCTTTCTGTTCTTCTCACCTTAGTGACAGGTCAAAAAAGTAGAAGGAGGAAAGTTACTATTGGTGATGCAAAATCCTTTCTTAGAGTTAAATGGTGTGGATTTAGCACTGGGTTATCCTTTTTGCTCTATAATGGTCTTTGTCTTTTCCAATCACTCATGTGAGATTTAGCAGTGAGAGATTGTATTAATTCAGACAGCTTCCCTGTGGTGAGATTTTGAAAAGCTCACAGTCTGAAGGGATAAAGTGGCTGAGGGTTGTGCTCCAATGTGAGCCATTCCAGAAGTGCCTAATTTCACAGGTCTCACCTCACAGAAGTGGAAGTATTATACTCCTGTAATTTGGCTGTGAAACCCTGACATAGAATGGATTTGTTCTACCTAGCTAGATACCCATTTCATTCTTAATTCCCTCAAGAAAGGCTGTAACATTGACAGTTTTTATTAGCTTTCTCACATTCGGTATAGCTATCCTTTAAAGAATATTTGGTAGCACATGAAAATGACACTTTATAATGCATACCAAAGTTATAAATATTAAAGTATCCATTCATAAAGCATGTATGAGAACTTTTTGAATTTTATTAATGACCATGTAGTAAATCATGTATAGAGGTCAGTTCCTAGTACCAGATTAACACACAATTAATGTTCTATTAATCTATTACACATAAAGGATTTACAATGGACTTCACAACCCCAAAACTAAAACATAGCTACCATATTTTCTTTACATTTACATTTTTCTTTACATTTTATTCAGGTTTTGGGTTGACTAAAACCTGATTACAACCTGGCAAGAAATAACCAAGCAAGTTCTGGTACTGTTGTGTAAACATTGTGAGAAAAAAGCACCGTCAAGGTATATTTCTAGGTTTCTTTAATCATTGGTTTTGACATTTCTAATGTAGATTACCATACCTAATTTTTGGGAGAGGTAAGCGTACCAGTTTAAGAAATTATAAAAATACATTGAGCTATAATAGGGTTTGGATTAGCCAGTCCACTCTGCTTCCTAGCAAACAGTGACTCCTGTGAACTTGTTTCATTTTAAGATCTCAGTGACTACAGGCTTCTAGCGACATTAGTGAAAGGCACATCACTCCTTTAATCAGTGCTAACTCTTAATACGCTGCTGTGTTTACAAAATATCAAATGGTGAATTTCTTTAAAGGTGGACATGTGGGAGGAACATGTATGTAACTCCTGTACCACTCAGAGACAGCCACAGATCTAAATCCTATATTATTGGTTATTCCAGACTGGGTGGGTACAAAATTAGGGAAAAAGGGGAATTGAATTAAAAAAAAAATCCTAGGTGCTACCTTTTTTTAAAGGCATCTTGGATCTCAGGGGTTCTTAAGCTTTAAGTGGTTACAGAAGGAGCAAAAAACAGAATGAATGTTTTGCTTGCAAACAGTGTTTATAAGGGTGTTCCTATTGTTCACTGCACAGATATCACATGCAGATGATTTTAGGTTGATTCTAAGTCAAGTATTTTAACCACAAGTCCAAACACTTTTTTATGTTTCTGAATCTAAATGCTTTATCATTGATGTTTTTTTGTTTCATTTGTAGTTGCTTAACTCTTTGTGACAAATATCTCTCTTTGTTTTCTAGGTAACCGAGGCTGGCAAGGACAGCTTGCCTTCTTGGCTACACTGGGATCCCAAAAGCCATATGTTACAAGGACTTCCTGTGGAGGCAGATAAGGGTGTCCATTACATCTCTGTCTCGGTTGTGGAGTTGATGGCTAATGGGAGCCATGTTACTCAAACTCCTGATGTTTTCTCCATTGAGGTCCATCCAGAAGAACATGCTGATGATCCTATCCAACTGGCAATCCAATCTGCCAATGAGGTTCAACCTTTCATCTGCGGTAATGAGGATCCCGTGACTGTTCTGACAGTTATACTGGATGCGGATTTAACAAAAATGACATCATTGCAAAGAGTGGAGCTCTTGAGTAAGATGAAGAAATTCTCCGAAGTTAGTCTTCAACATATGAAGCTCCTGCCTGTTGTCAATAACAGACTCTTTGACATGTCTGCGTTCATGGCTGGGCCTGGGAATGCAAAAAAGGTGGTGGAAAATGGAGCATTGCTGTCCTGGAAACTGGGCTGTGCCCTTGATCAGAGTAGCGTTCCTGACATCAGCAGCGTGCAAGTGCCAGCAAAAGAAGGAACTATGTCAGCACAGCTGGGTTACCCAGTTGTAGGTTGGCATATTGCCAACAAAAAACCCCATGTTCCCAAAAGGATCAGACGACAGCTTTATGCCACCCCCACACCTATCCCCTCAGCACTGCCTCCAACAACACCTCCTCCTCAACCACCCATTCACATAGTGCCAACCCCTACCTCTCCATCCATTGCTCCTACCACTGACACTACTGCCCCTCCAGTGAGAGGTCCTGTCCCCCTACCTGTAAAGCCTACGATCAGAACAAGAGATCCTATTGCTCATACTCCTACCTTAGGGCCTATTCAGCCTACAAGAGTCTTGGAAACCACAAGTACAATACCTATACAACCCACTATGACGAGACCTGTTTTTGTGGAGGCCACTGCCACTCCAACATCATCAACCATTACTACCAGGAGGCCAAAAACACCTTCTTCCACAAAGAAACCCAGAAAGCAAAAGACATCCACTCCAGTCCCCAGAGAAAGAAGCACCACCACACCCAAGACTCCCAAAGGTCCCCCATCTGTTAGCCTACCAGATACTAGTAACACACCACCACAGCTACGAAATCACATTGATAAGGTGGATGCCTGGGTTGGCACTTACTTTGAAGTGAAGATTCCTTCAGATACATTTTATGATCACCAGGATGGCACAACAGATAAGTTGCGTTTGACCCTAAGGAAGAACCAGAAGGAAACAGTTGAGGATAGTTCTTGGATACAGTTCAATAGCACCAGCCAGCTCATGTATGGCTTGCCAGACACACCCCATGTGGGAAAACATGAATATTTCATGCATGCGACTGACAAAGGTGGCCTGACTTCGGTGGATGCTTTTGAGGTTCATGTGCACCGTTGGCCTCACAATGACAAGCCACCTGTCCTTTTTGCAGCTCGGTTCCGTGGGGAGCCCCATATGGTGACTAATGATGTGCACAAGAAGATTCTCCTCATTAAGAAACTTGCCTACGCATTTGGAGATCGTAACAGCAGCACTGTAACTCTGAAGAACATCTCAAAGGGTTCCATTGTGGTCGAGTGGACCAACAATAGTTTGCAGCAGGACCCTTGTCCAAAAGAACAGATTCAGGCCATGAGCAAGAAGATTTCAGACACCCAAGGCAAACCCACCCTCTCCTTCAACAATGTCATGGAGCCAGACTTTAAGCCCATTAACATCACTGTCAAGGGGACAGGAAGTTGCAGAAATTACATGTTTGTACCACCTGGAATAATACAAATGCCTGTTCCCCCTCCTGCTACGCCTGCAGGAGGTACAGGTCGCCAGAGCACCGATGACGTGTACTTGCACACAGTCATCCCAGCAGTGGTGGTAGCTGCCATTCTTCTAATTGCTGGCATAATTGCCATGATCTGCTATCGAAAAAAGCGGAAGGGAAAACTCACAATTGAAGACCAGGCCACCTTTATTAAGAAGGGTGTGCCAATAATTTTTGCTGACGAGCTGGATGATTCAAAACCCCCACCTTCATCCAGTATGCCCCTCATCCTACAGGAGGAGAAGCCTCCTCTACCACCCCCAGAGTACCCCAATATGGTCAGCCCAGAAACCACCCCTCTTAACCAGGACCTTCTGGGCGAGTACACTGCTCTGCGGGACGAGGATCCTAACGCACCCCCTTATCAGCCTCCCCCGCCCTTCACTGCCCCTATGGAAGGGAAAGGCTCTCGTCCAAAGAACATGACACCCTACAGATCGCCACCTCCCTACGTGCCACCATAACATCTGGGGGAACCTCCAGGAGAGGAGGAGAAGGGAACTTTGCAGTTCCACACCAGTGTTGTCTGTTTGGAAAGTTGGGAGGGAAGGGTGGGGGAGGTATAACAAGGGAGGGAGGGCTAGGTATGGCTGCAAAGGGGTTAAGGAAGGAAAAACTCTAGATGGTAGCCTGCAAGTGCTTTCGTCAAGAACTTAGTCCCTTCCAATGATGGCTACAACTGAAACGGCATACCAAGAGGTACACCCACCCCAGCGTTTTTTGTCCCCCCCGTTTCTTTTTGTTTGTTTTATGGACTTCAAATCAAAACCCTTCTTGCCTAACAGCACTCTTTTTATTGTATGAACTCTTTATTTTTAAATAATACAAGACAATAAAAACCAAACAGACTGCAGACTTAAATGTTTTGTTACAAAAAAAACATAACCTTGGGGGACATGTACTGACCAGCAGGCAGCACTGGGGTTGGCGTTCAATTCAATAAGGTTTGCCTTTAACACTAATTGTACTGTTTTTATCCTTATTCACATGTGTCTAGCAAAAAGAAGCATAACAAGAGGTAGCCTAAAAATGAGACTTAAAGAATTTTTTTTTTTCATTTAATCCACTGTATATCTGAAAAAAATGTTCTGCTAGATTTTATTTTGTTGGTAAGTACCAGATTGAAATAACCTGCAGGAAACCTTTTATAAAAAAAAACTATGAACAGGGTTTGTCATTTAAATATTTTTTTTAAAATGGCAGGCTCATAGTGTCTGCCCACCTGCCAACCCTGGAAAAAAAGCTAATTTTGAAATCATCTGTCAGAATGCACATGGCCATTGGTTTCATATTGTATATTGGTGCCATTTTTATTCCTGATATAAAGTGTTACACAAAAAGTGTCTTTGTACCCAGTTGTATGCCTGTGTAAATACCTGCATCAATATTGAAAAATAAGCTGAGCAGTTGTCCAATAAAAAAGCTTCCTGCAGGTTATTTTGGAAAGTGGGTTATTATTTTTTTTTATGTAGAGTGATGCTCTTGTTCTCACATTAAAAAAACAGTGCAGTAGTACTATAATAAGCCTGTGCGATTGATCCATAGCTTTGAAATCACGGTTCCAGGCACATGAATCACTGAAGGCGAGAAGGGGGGGAATGAAATGGGTGTTTCATAAGTGAAATCATCAAAAAAAAGAAAATGATTAAAAATTCTCAATCTAATTTTTTTACTAAATTTTTGATACAGCCTCAAATTGTTTTATTATAAGAGGAAAAATAGCATACAGCAATTTGTAAAAGCTTAGCTTCATAGGTAAAATTGATTCACTGTATATCTCTTCTTTCGTCTCATTGGTCACTCTTTTTTTCCTAAGGTGAATTTTAGTTCTTAATGGCCTTTACAATTTGTTATCCTTGGGTTATATAGTGTTTATGTTCTCACCTTTTGAACAGTGGCTTTCTCCCACATTTTAATTTGAATGTCTTCTGGAATGTCTGATATTGTCAGCAGATTCCATTTTTTTCTTTCTTTTGAAAGTTACCCTTTGCAATAATGTTTGGCGCAGTCTTGAGTTGGCGAAAGTCAGGTTGGCAATGTACAAAGCCATACTGGGTGGTGCTAAGTGTCTGGTAATGTGCACTGTTGTGCATAAATTTAAGAAGTGAATGGCTGGATGTGGCAACCCTTCATAATGCCTGTTAAAGGTCCAAAAATTACTTATCATAGCTCTTTATCTAATAGAAAAGGTGTGTACTAATTTTATACAATAATAGTTTAAATCTCATTATAGAGTGTCTATTTTTATTTTTTAAATTATAGTGAAATGCTTCCATTGACATTGATATTTGTGTTAATATTCACCAGGGCTGTGATATTTTGCAGTTTCCCCAAACCTATGTAATATTTAAGGTTCGCTGCAATGCTGACTTTATTTTCCAGTGGCTGATCAAAACCAGTCACTTCATAGTGGGTTTCTGCATGAAGTCCCAACTCTGAGATTGTCTACTGATGAATAAGCTCTGAACTGTCATGTTCCTTTGTTTTTTGGTTGTTTTTCTCACCTTCTGTAAAAAAGAATTTAGTAGAAAAGCTACTTGAAAGCTCATGGTGAGTTCTGGCTTTCAGAAACGTTTATGGATGATAATGGAGAGGGTTGCATGTTAGTGTTTTAGTCCTGGTGCTTGTAGTGGATCCTGAAGATCAATCTGCAATATAAATTGTTTTTGTGTGCACAGGAATGTGAAATATGTGCAGCAGAACAAGAAAAAGTTTTATTAAATACCCCACCAAAAATATGTTTTGCATATCAACTTTGCAGTTACCCTTGCACAGGTGGACTACTCAGACTTACCCATCAAATGACATTCACTGCAAAAGCCAGGGTTTTAATTGTGTTTCTTCACAAAATACTGATTTTTTTATATACAAACAAGAATAAATTAAAACTAGGATTATTTGTTAGTGTTCCAATACTGTATCCAGTGTTCTTTTTTTTTTTTTCTCCTATACACCGTTTTCCTTGCGTGTCAAGTTATTCACCTGAGGAACGGGGTTAATTTCTAAGCAATGGAAGTTTTTTTTTTTTTGGAAGTGACCTTTTATGCCTCTGAACAGTGTGCAACAGCTGTGTGCCTAACTAAATTCAGTGCTTAATCCTAAAGGATAACCACAAATTCCAACAGATTCCTCCTGGTTTCTTAGAGCTCTCATTTGTCCTATCCACCCTCTGTAGAACCAGAGTGCATTACATCGAACAAGATAATGGCATGTACTTGAATTTTTGAGTTAAGAAATGGGAACAGGAACTCAACAACAGTGTATTTATCTTTATCACAAAACAATCTTGACTTGTCAATCATATACTTTGATACAGAAAGCAACGCAGAGAACACAGGACAATTCAAAACACCAGGTGGTGAAAATAGTTTTGTGTGGGTTGAAAGGTTCAGACTGAATTGCTGTTTTGAAGTTCAGGAGTATCTGTAGCAGGTTAGATTCAGGAACAGTATCCCCCCTTATCTGCAATAATTGTGCACCGAGCAGCACTGCTAAGATTGTACCGCTAAAATGTTAAGTTGAAACCTGGCACCTGGTGTATATCTGAGGGAAATTCGTCATGGTGCTTATTACCTTAAGACAGCAGCTATATCCTTGTCCTTCTGACATTCTTTTGTTGTTTTGGGTTTTTATTTGCCAATATAAATGTGTGGATTCATGAAATCATCACATCGGCCTTACATACATAGCTCCCCGCTGTGCTTTGAAGTGTTGAAGTGTTCGAAGGGGCAGACATTTTGTTGGCAATAGAAAGCTTATGAGATATTTACTTTTTACAGTAATGGTGTTATTAATAATGACAAAAAAATCCTTATAACTGGAATAGGAGGATATTATATATGTATGAAGAAAGAAAAGTATTTTTTAAATGTAAATGTTTTGTATGTCTTCAGAAAGTTATATTAGACCACACTTTTTTTCTCCTTTAAGTTTGTAGTTTCATGATTATCCCCCCCCAGACACACCTTTTTGTAAGTGCATGTTATTGAAGCTAGGCCAGTCACAAAGATGGGTTCACTGTTCTACAATGAGAGACTTGGCTTAGCTGCATTGATGTGGTCCATCTTCACGTTGGTTCCACAATGTGGTCAGCGGACACGATAGCCAAGCCTGATGATAAACAGGTAGCACAAGAAACGTTTGCGTGAGTCTAGAAAGCCTGACTACTGTCCATCACCATGGCAACTTAACTAAAACGGGGTAAAATGACTGCTTTGGTAAAGAATACAAAAATGAATCTTTAAAAAATGCAAACGGCATTTGTTTTCTTTTTACTGTTTTTAATAGCATTGTTTTATTTATGCCACTAGACACTGTATGTTGAACTCTTGTATTAAAAAGTGTTTTCACCAACTCTGACTACAAGCTTCTTTATTGTTTTATGTATGCAGCTCTCTGTTTTGTTATGGATTCTTCTTGATTCCCAACCACCTCTTTTTTTGTGTGGGTTTGGGTGGAGGGGAGGGTGGTGTAACACTGGAGCACTTCTTCTGAAAAATCAATGAAAACCTTGAAACAATTCATCACTCTTAAGTGACCAGAATAAAAAAGTCAGACTTATGTGTTTGAACTTAATACCAGTGTTATTTTGCCAGTGTTTCCACCTCTTACTGTATGTTTAGTTTTTTTTCCACCTTTAGCAGAATAAAACAAAATACCTGCAGGATCTTGTTTTTATGTTTTTTTTTGTGTGCACCACTGATTAGAGAGGAGGAACAATGGAATAGGAGGAAAAATGCTTTGGCTAAGTCCAGTTTTGCAGTTATGAGCCACCTAATGAAAGCATATACTGTATGTAATGAGGTGCATTTAAGTAGGGAGCCAGTTTGTTGGTTGTTTTTTTGTAATGGAGTACAGAGTCCAAGGCAAGTGATGTCATAAAAGAAGCCTGGTGGTCAGTGTTTGGTATTTTAGCTTGTTTACGGTCAAAACAATTTAAGAATCTGTTTTAATAGCCAATCAAAGAGAGGTTTAATATGAAAACAATAGCAAGATCTTCCACTGGATGAATTAAAGTTGCCTGATCACTAAGGTAACTTGTTTGTGGCAGATGGCAAAGTAGTATCTTGAGTTCTGCTTCAGCAATCTGCAAACTGGACCAGAGAAACTAGGAAACTTCCTTTGTGAGGAATAGAGCACATACTGGATGGCATAGGATAATCACAATAACACAGGACTGATACAATCATCTGATCCATTTGCATAATAATGATCATACTGTGGTGGATAAAGCAAGAGAAATTCCAGGAAGAATTAACCAGTGCATTAGAAGAAATGACTGGCGCGTAATCTGCACCACAATGATATGCATGGTGGGAGACCTTCAGGGTTAACTTTTAGAGTTGATTGGGAAGATTCTCATAGTGGTGCAGTGTTTTATTCACAGGTGTTTTGGGTGGAAAAAGTGGTGGAAAACGGGTGGTTTTCAATAATGGGAAGAATTGATGGACTATTGTGTGTGGATATGTCATGGTGAGCATTATGTGGTTGTGTTCACGTCAAGCAGGAAATTGGAAGTATGAGGATGTGGGGAGACACAAAAATGTGTTGAACTGATGGAGGACAAAAGTGTTACCTTAAGCTAGCAGGTTATTTAATTCCTGTGGGCCAATATGGATTTCTTTTAAAGAAGAACAATATCAGACCTCACAATGCTAGGGGTATAATGACAACTTTTTGCTATGAGGTTTTGCTTTGGCAGATCTGAATCTGATCTGTGGACTTACCAATGCCAGCAGGAGACCACTATGACGGGCCAGTCTTTGCCAAGTACTATAGCTCCAGCTGTACAGGAAGAGTGGTAGAATATCCCACAGAACTCTATTCAGAGGCTGATCAGATTCATGCTTCAGTCTAGCAGGATAGTGCTAATGCTTAGATTTGTTGTACCTGATCTGTTACATGGTTTTTGTTTTAATAGTGTCATCCATCAGTACATAAATCTGACTTATTGTTCAAACCTTTCACTGAAGGAATTCTAAAAGCACAGTGAGTATTAGAGGAGTATACTTTTAATATTTGATTTCATTTTTTGCTAAAATGATGCCTTGCCTTAAATAATCCTGTGTCCTTTTGTGTCCTGCAAAAATTGATCTTGAGGGCATGATGACCTAACCTTTACAAAGGAAATGGAATCAAACCATAATGCCAAATATTAAGTTTGCATTGAATGGTTTATACCAGCAAACTACAACAGTCCTGGAGTAAACATAGAAGTAATGCAAAAACCATGCTTCTGTTTGTAATGCTGGTAAGCACAGTTCTCTTTCATGACTCACACTGATGGCATTATTGCATTTTTAAATATTTTGTTAATGGTTTGAGAATGTTTTAACATACATTAATTTCCCAGATTAAGGTAGAGTGCTTTTCCTTGTAGATTGTTTAAATTAGCATAGAAATGTCAAAAAGCACTGCCTAATAACATTAATGTTTAACTTGAGTCTTGCTACAGTTACCATTGAGTTTACATTTTCTTATGTTTTGTTTGTTTTGGTACAAGTGAGTTATTTTTTACTAAAAAGCATTACATAACAGATTTTTAAGATGTTTTAAGACCGTCTCAGGGAACATGAATTTAATTTCAATGTATTTTAAAAAAAATTACACTAATAAAATGATTTAGCAGTAAATTGTTGATATTTGAAAACTTACTGTTTGATGGCTTAAGTCAGTTTTGTCTTTGGAAGCTCTTGGAAACCTTATCATCTGGTCATTTTTCATGAATTGGTAAGTAAAGCTTTGTCATAATGCTGGAGACAAAATGAAAGCCAAATTTACTTTAGTGTGTAGTGGTCCTGTACCTGTAGTGTAAGGCTCCTTAAAGTTGTCGGTGTTAAATAGGCAACAATAGATTTCTCTAAAAATAAGTAAGACACTACCATGGTAGAGAAAATACGTAATTCAAGTTAGTGGTTGGTTAGTTGGTTGGTGCCTTTGCCTGCTTGACTATTTTTAGAATTTTTCAATTCATTTAAATACCTTTATGGACGATTGTTACAAGAGCTAACAATCTCCATCTAAGGCTAGTATTTGCCCATTAAATAGCAGTAAAGAGCATCAGTAATGGAGCTAGAAAATATAACATTAATGGCAAGTGTTGCCGTTGAATTTTACAAACAGCATAAATTCTGCATAACTGATCATGCTTCTGTTTTCGGTTTTCATAAGCAGAACATTCAACTTATAATTAGAGATCTTAAGAGTATTAATTCATTGCAACGTTAGGATCACACCCCAAATAAACCACACAGAAGACAACATAGCTTGATTTGAGTTGAAATCCATGTAAATGAATATATTTTGCAGGGCTATTCTAATGTTATATTAGAACAGAAACCACATATGCAATAATTTCCCTAGGGAAATAGAGTTTTGCTGTTAGATTTAGAAGGAGTCATAATCAGAACAGTTTGTCCTTTAACCGTTTGTTGTGAATGTGAAGGTTATTTTTAATGTTCACAAAATTCTCCAGTTCTGTTACATTCTGTGGACATGATCTTGTGATACATGGCTACAAGTGCTACCCCCCTAATTTTTCACCCCTTATGTATTTCTTATAGAGGAATTGCAGTCCCAATTTCTCGGACTTATGAAACCTCGATAACAGCATTGATGGTATTATACAAATCCTCAATTAAGCACAAAATTGTGGACTTTGTGAAAGTACTATATAGTCTCCACATTGTTGCAAAACACTGGTGCAACATAAATTAATCTTTCCTGCTCACTATTCACTGTAATGACAAATGTAATAAGATGCACAAGTGAATAAGTACAGGTTGTGCAGCAGACATTTCACCGTAGAAATGTTCCAACGTGATCTGCATGCAGAATGAACAAGTAGTATGTTGGCAAAACTGTCTCAAAGTTGAGAGCGATATTTCTATCGGATTAAAAGAGATGTATTCACAAGTCTGCTTCTTTACAGTATAACAAGGCATGGCCGCTTCATGTCATTGGACATTTGGTTGCCTGGTTCTGAATAATAGTAACATGGAGCTGCACCTATTTAAAAATTTAGTCTATTTTGTGATGTAAATTGGAGGTTTTACATGTTACTCATCAATGCTGTTTTTTTTTTCCAAATCCCAAATATAAAAAGTTCCCCTTTAGATGAGGTCATTCTTTCTTCAGTCCCGGGAGAGTAGCATTTGTTGACTAGAGGGAACATTTTCTAACAACAGAAAAAGAAGTGTGTATCTTTCAGTTTTCAGTGTGTTTTTGTGAGACTAAATGGGTGATGCATTTTGTTTTAGACATTAAGTGAACATGTGCATCCCAAGTTTGAAGCACAGGCAGATTTTCTCAGGAGAATGGAAATGTCAACATTGTGCAAAAACAGCATGAAGTTCCCCCAAGTCTTTTTACAACTTCTTCTGCAGATGGCTCCTTTTGATTTTGTTACTTGATGTGTACAAATGCTTTCTTTTGTCATGAAAATCCTGTATTTAAGACAGAAAAGTTTTAGGATTTTAGAATTCCACGCAGTTCTGGCGATGGAGAAATGAGAGATGTTTTGTCATTTCTTAAGTGATAACATAATAGGCCCATTCCATTAATATCTCACAGCATACGTGAAATTCGGTCTATTTGATGTATAGGCTATACGACCAAATACCATTGTTTTGTGCTTCATGGTGCGTTGTAAAATGCCTGATATCATAGTGACACCTATGATAATGATAAAATATTTCTCATTGCTCTTTAAAAAAAAAACAATCACATTACATTGTAAATATAATAGAAAATTACTCAGCCAAGAACAAAGCAGATGAGGAATATAAAGCAATCAAAGAAAAAGCCCTTCCAAAAAAGTAGGTTTGTAGGGGTTGACTTAAAAGCACCAAATGTGGTCCCAATTTCATTGAAGAAGAAAAGGCTGGTGTCACCTATGGAGTGTAGGTGAACAGTGAAAATTGTCAACCAGAATCGGCTGAGCCCTGAGAAGGACATGTGGAAGGGAGAAGACAGATCCTACAGATCCTATAGTCATGAGATACTGGGAAGTCATTTGGAGTCTTGGAACTCGGCAGAAGAACTTACCAAGAAACCAGTGCAAGCACTCCAGGTCAGGTATACAGTATGTGATCACTTGTGTTTGACCTAGTCAAGATACTAACTGCTGAATTCTTCTAACTTTGCAGTTACAGAACCCTAACCACTACTGAGACAGCACAGGACAAAACCTTTAAGATGGCAAAAGCCTTTTTCCCCAATATTCTGTACACGAGGTTGAAAAAACACCCCCTGATCAAAGACCACCCTGTTTTTTTTTTTGTTTGAAATTCAAGCACAGTGCAATCCACTGACAGTAAATCCATGTGTTTATGAAACTGAGGGAAAGAACATGA